TGATGCCTACGTTTTGATCTTTGCCAATTTAATAAAATTGGAAAAATAAGAGTTACTTTTTTTTTTCGTTTTTTCCAGTATCGTAGGCGTCAATTGAAGCCGGCTACCATTCAACTTTCGCTTTTTTTCTCGAAGGTGTAATTGGATTTTGGCTCATATCTTTATTTATATAGAAACGTACCAAGATCAATTGAATGTAAAAAAGAAAGACGTATTGAAAATGTAGGCTTGTTTGTAATTCAAAAGATAAAATGTTAGGAAGAAGCCTTATGACAGAGTGGTAGAAAAAAATAAAAATGATGTAGCTCAAATTTAAATTATATAGACAAAGATAGAGAGAAAGTCTAAGTTTTCAAGAGTTTTGTTTTGGAGCGCACTGGGGCAAATAAGAGTAATCTTTTTGAACAATGATTAACTATTTAATAAGCTTAAACCTGGAAGCAGCTGACAAAAATTTAAATTTTGGAGGTTCTGAGTTCGAGTTACGCAAACAAGGTCAAAAACAATTGAACTTTCTTCAGATACTACAGAAATTCGGTGTGAATCATCACGGAAAATTCGGCTACATTTTATAGCCAAAAAAATTGGCTACATTTAAAACCAAATATTTTTGCTAGTTTTCCCCAAGCTATCAAAAAATAGCATCAAATTTCAAACAGCTATCTCAGTAAGTGTTTTGAACAATTTTTTTCTGTTATCTATGAAATTCTTGGGATCAAAACATGGGAGAAAACATTTCACCTGCAACCGTTTTTGTTACATTTTAGATGGTTTGCGTATTTGGCCACTTTGGGCTAATATATAGCTCTATTAATGTTTATCTAAGATTATCAACTCAAAAACGGTTATTAAAAATCAGAATAGCGATCGAAACGTCAAAACTTATCGCACCGTCTATTTTTTGAAGCAAAACTAGACGAGCTAAATCGAAGAGAAATCACAACAATCAGGGTTCTGCCCTGATACAAACACTTTCATTATTATTAAAATTGATGATTTTTGGGTGCATGTTGGAAGAATTTCATCCTATCATTCTGCAAGCATATACATCTGGGTAAAAAATTGATTTTTTTTCTATAATTCTTAAATTTCTCGTCATAATATTGAAATCAGCTGTTTTTCTTGCGTCCATAAAGTTGAATTTGGATTGATGTCATGTTGGAAGCAGTTCATAAAAATTCAGAATCAATCTTGATAAAAGTTGTTTCTGAAAACACTCTTTCTTACAAAGTCAGCTCTCCTTTTGTTTTGAAAAATAGGCAGGTTTTTTTGTCTGCTCACAATTTTGAGCTGCTGTTTTGCCTCTGTTTTCTTTCGTTGGGGGCACGTAATTCTTTTTTATGACCAATATAAGGCCATGAATGCAAATGCAATACTATTAGATGCAAAGAAACGAAGGTAATTTAAAATTGGTTGCTTATCATGATCGACCATTGACTGAACTGTAATCCTGGGTTTTAACAGTGCAGTAGAATAGCTAACAATTCTAATTCTAATGTTATTAAAAGTAGCTAAAATTCGCAAAAGACTGAACTAATGCCGATTGTCCGAAGCACAAAAAGGTCTCCCGAAATCCCATAAGTCTTAGATTTTATCTGTTTTATTTACTCAAATCTCATTGCAAAATTCAGGGGTGGACTCGAGGATTAGCTGTTAAACTCACACTTGAGTGAACTTTTACGCTTTCCACAGTCAATTAGATAGACAGGTATAGGATTTTGGCTAACTTAAGCAAATTTCTTTGGCTTTTTTAGATGGAATGATGTTTTGCGAGATTTTCTGCAGACTAATAAGATTGCGTTACTATAATATTTTCTATCCAGTAGATATATTTTTGGCGTACAGTCAATTCGGCCCAAAACAATTCAGCCATTTGAAATTCAGACAATTCAGCCAGAAACATACAGACAATTCAGCCTGAGACAATTCAGCCCATTTTACAAAATTTTGCCTGCGGCGCACAATTTGTGGCCAAAGATTCTTAGTAGTGCTTTGGAGGAGCTCGGAAAATCAATTTGGTCGACCTAAAAAAATATCGACAAAATTCTCGAAACTTTTTGAAAAATCGAAAAAAATCGAAATTGAAGTTATTTCTCGGTTTAAGCCCCCCCCCCCCCCTCAGGGATTCGACCCCCTGCCGACCCAAAGGGTCCCCCTTTTGTAATATTTTGACATATCCATTTATGGTGACGTACCCTAAAATTTTTCTAAGGGCGACTTCAGCGCCAATATGTAATAATTTTAAGGGGCGAGCGCGCGCCAAAAAAAACGCAATTTTTTGGTCATTATTTTCCAAAAAAAAACCTAAAACCGCCTTTTTTGGCCTGTTTTATCAAAATTTTGCCTGCGGCGCACAATTTGTGGCCAAAGATTCTTAGTAGTGCTTTGGAGGAGCTCGGAAAATCAATTTGGTCGACCTAAAAAAATATCGACAAAATTCTCGAAACTTTTTGAAAATTCGCCCCTCTCGAGAAATTCTTAAATCCGCCTCTTGTGCGGCGGAAGATCTGAACTTGGTCTATCTGGGGAGGATGTTAAAAATATCCAAAATATTTTACCCTTTAAAAAATTTTTTTTTCAGTTTACGCACACTCTCCTCATTTTACCCAAATTATATCAGAAATGAGCCGAAAAGATAGAAAAAAAATATTTGTAAAGTCTTCTTTCAAAAACGTATACTCTCAAAACAATTAAACATTGAATAATTTTGAACCTTTCGTCGTTGTTTATTTTTTGTTTCTTCTCAAGTTGTCTAAGTATGTTTTGTTTATCTCCAGAAATACATAGAGTAAACTGTTCGTGACATGAAGAAATCTCTAATATTCCGTCTGTTTATTTATGCGTTTGGGGTAAAATTGTTTTCACAAAAATTTGAAAAAATTGTCACTTGAACTAATTGTGGCATGAGGAAATCTCTAATATAACGTTTTTTTGTTTATGCGTTTCGGGTAGAATCGTTTTCACAAAAATTTGAAAAAATTATCAAGTGAAAACAAAAAACTACACAGAGTGTCATGAGATTATATGTATTATCGTTATATTTTTTCATCAAAGGTAATGCGCTAGTATTGTAAATAAGTGTAAAGGTGGGGCTATCCACCCATGATGAAGGGTACGAACGTTTAAACACTATTTTAAAAAAATAAAATCCTAGAAAACTGCACAAAAATGCAATAAAAATTTTTAATTGTCCTTCAAACAGATAATTTTTCAAAAAATGTAATGAATCGACTTTTCGGAAAACTTTTGTTAACAATAAGTTTTTTACATTCACGCTGACTATTCTCATTTTTAACATAAAAAAATATAAAATACCGTGAAATCTGGAAACAAATTTAATAAACTTTATAGAAAAAAAAATATTTTCGAAATAATTATTTTCCATATTTGATTTTTTTTTGTTTCTGCGTAATTTGCCTTTGTTTTTGCTTAAGTTTTGTTATTTTCAAAGATACATAGCTTCAAGAACACTGCTCGTGTCATGAAAAAATCTCTAATTAATAATTCGATTGCTTGTTTATGCGTTTTGGTACTGTCATTAGAAAAATGGCAGAAAGTTACCAAAAAAAGAATTTTTTTTTGAATCGTTTTCCATATGCAAGCGCAAGCACAACCTAATTATTTTTGCAGATGATAAAAATTTACTCAAATCAATTTTTTTGCTTACATTCAAATTGGAATAAATTTTGAGGCGGAAAACTTCTCCGCATTGGATATGCGCATTTTATCTTAAACTGTAAATGATTTATGGTAAAATTCCTACAAAAATTCTTTTCTTAAAAAAATTACCACACTGAGTGCCATTAGAAAAACAAAGTTTCCAAGGGCAGTGGAGTAACGCTAATTACTGATCATCGGAAATGCGTGCTATTAATGAGTTTGAAAGAAAAGGTGGCTTTTCTCCCAAGATGATTGGTACGAACTAATGACTAAAGGTAAAACTAAAATCGAAATCCTAGAAAACTGCAACAATTTTCTTATCGTTCTACGCAATATGCTGAAAACTGAAAACAAAATTGACAGACTGCGAAAAATTCTCTTGCAGTGGCCTGTTGGTGGGCGTTCTAGGCCTGCGTCCGTGCTTTTTATTTTTTAATAAACAGTTTGTGTCTCGGTTCTGGCAAACTCTCATCACGTACCTCCAGAATGAATTGTCTGCCTTGAAAATTAAATGTTTTGTTTAAAATTCATGCAATTTTTGACCAAAACCTTCCAAAATTGCCCAAACTTAAATTTTTGACCTGTTATTTCGAAACCTGTTACCTACCCCCACCCCTCCTCCTCCTCCTTCTCGAGAAAACCTTAGCATTAGCGAGAAAATCTGTGAGTTTAGTTTGAACTAGTTCATGAGTTTTGATTTTTTCAATATTTAGGTTATGCTTGCGATCAAAAACTTGACCTTTACAAATCTCTAAAGAAAATGAGTGCTTTGAGCCTTAAGTCTAAAAACTGAAAATAGTTGAAGCGACATTGGTTTTCCGAATCGTCTAAGCTTTCTTGACGATTGGCTAGAGTTTAATTGACCGTGAGCTAATGCAATATGTTCAATTAAATTGATATCGTTCTCAGGGGACAAATACATCTACTTTTCAACTCGAAGCAACAACCTTGCATTGATACGACTACAGGGTAGAGGTTCCAGTTGAGAGCTCTGCAGTTACTTTTGATACAGAGAGTAATGCAATTTAGTCAATTTGAAAACAAAAGCAGTTCAATTCGTCTCGAACCTTTGATTGAGGAACGAAAAAAAATCGTTTTGATTATGAACCATATGAGCCAAAATTTCAGCCCGTAATTTTTACATGTATATTTATGAACCAAATAACCAAAAACGCATGGAATGACTTCAAAAGGAAAAGGTTGGATATGAAAATCAGAATATAAATGCACACTAATTTGAATATTTATTCGATTGAACTCCTTCAATGGTTCATTTAATACGAATTTTCAAATTTCAAGTAACTAAAAACAAAATTTCGAAGTGAGATGTATTTTCTGACCTGTGCGATGAACATGTCGATACATGTGATTGTGACCATCAAGTAGCCCGACACTTCTCTCAGCTGCTCAGTCTTGTAGAAGAGGTAGAGGATCAAGCCACAGCCGACATTAGTTGAAAACCAGAGTAGAAAGTACACTGTCGGGTCCAGGATACGAAGCAGCAAACTAATCAGAGGGGGGGGGGGGGTAGAATTATAATAGTTGGCTCATTTGTTATTAGAAAACCATATAGATGGAAATAATGGATTTTGTCAAATACAACTCCAACAAAAAAAATACAAAAAAATGTTTTTTTATTATATTCAGTATTTGCATAAATTTGTAATCTGTGGAGTGGTTGTTTAGTACATTAGCCGAAAAGGGGTTGTTAAACGGATTTAAATACGTGCATCACAAAGGTGCATCTCATTTGGGGTGAGCAGGAGCTTTTGGCGGTTTATATTGAACAAAATCTATATTCGGAGAACTACCCAAGCGCACTTTTTTGGAAAGTTTTGGACGAGTTATTGTGTTTTTCAGTGCTTGCTCCCTCTTCAAAAAACTGTACATACATTTTTAAAAAAATGGCTTAAAAGTACCAAAATGAGGAACCCCTCGGAAAGTTTTGGTAGCCAACCAGAAATGAGGGAAGGCGGGATTGTCGCATCAGTCCCATCAGCAATCAGCAATCAGCAGCGGATTTGGGGGGGGGGGGGTGGATGTTTGCCTTTGCTTCAGGGATTCGACCCCTGCCGACCCAAAGGGTCCCCGCTTTGTACTATTTTGAGATATCCATTTTTGGCTGACGGACCCAAATTCTTTTCCAAAGGCGCCTTCGACGCCAAATCATACTATATATGAGGGGGAGCGCGCGCCAAAAAACGCAATTTTTTGGTCAAAATCTTCCAAAAAGTGCCTAAAAACGCCTTTTTTGGCCTGTTTTTTCAAAAATTTGCCTGCGGCACAAAAAATTTGGTCGAAATAGGGTCTTTATAGTTATTTAGGAGAACTCAGAAAATCAATTTGGTCGACCTAAAAAAAGGTCGACCAAATTTTTGAAATTTTTTAAAAAAACGCAACCCCACCCCCTCCTCGAGAAAATCCTAGATCCGCCCCTGCGTCCCATAACACCCCGTTTGGGATTACTACTTGGCATCCCTTAGCTCAAAGTAGAAAAAGAGCACGACTTATGATGATTCTGAAAAACTTCATAGCCTTGCTTTTAGGAACCCATCCTCACTTCAGGTACCAAACTATTATAATTATACCTATTCGGGATATTGTCGTCTTCGTCCGACGAGTCGTCTTGTGAGTCATTCACCGTCGGCGTCATGTTTAATACGAAGCTCGGATTCAAAGTATATGCCATATTTAAATGCTATTTGTAACACTGTACTTCAGAATTGGCGGAAAACACAATGGAATAAAGCAATAATTGAAATGGAAATTTGCAATTTGAAATTTAAGATCTAAAAAAGCAATTTAAAGAAGAAGAAATATATTTCTTTTTTGTATGTTTGCTTTCGTTTTTTGTCCAGTTTTCACTCAGCTTTTTTGTTATTGATATCCACTGGAGGGTAACATGATTTTTTTAAGTTGAAAAAATTTAAAAATAACTTGACGCCAGACAAGGAATAAGTGGCTCTTTGTAGTTTTAAATTCAGTAACAAGTCAACAAAATAATTTTTAAATTCTGTATTTAAAAGAATTAATACTGTTTTTTTTTGGTTTAAAATCCAGTAGCAAGGAAAACAGGGAAGGTTGCTTGGTACAGCGGTGTTAACTTCGGACAGAATGATATTATGTAAATATGACTGTCACTTTGGCACAACTTGTAGTTGCTAAAACGGAAAAAATTGGCATCAAATGTCTGAACAAAGCGGAATGAAATAGGATAGGTTATAGAAATTTGATCAGTAATTTGAACTTAACAGGAAAACAACAAATAATTATGGTCTTAGTTACACTAAAAAATTATTCTTAAAAACGATTCTCTTCTGGAAGTGTGAAGTATTCTATGGGAACTGTTTTTATATCCGTCTAGGGTTTTATAACTGTTTTTATAATCGAGCAGGTTGAACGATGTTTAAAGTATACTTTTTGTAACAGAGGAAATCATATTTCTTTTTCGGACAAACTTTCGGGGGGAGGTTTTCTTTAAACCGCGATTAAAACGCAATTCGAGATAAATCTATTTAAAATCCAAAAGCGAAGCCTTTTTTGACGTATTGGAGAGCAAATGTCAAAAACCCATTAAGGTTTATTCATTTTTTGTAAGAAACACCATAAAATAAAGATAAGTAACTAGAAAAATAAGAATGACGGATAACGTGAAACTTAAGATGACTGTTAAATGGAGCAATTTCTGGGATGTTCCGCCTCCCAAGTAAAAAATAATCTTCCCCCTAGAGAAATATGCAACTATAAGGTATCCTATCGAATTAACCAGACGGTTTTTTTGCGACTTCAGTTCCCTTATAATTTATAATCAAGTTATTAAAATAGATTTTAGCGATTTTTGCCACGGGTCACACGCAGAAGAAGAGGCTTTTTTATTTTAGTATCTAGGGAGTTTGAATGGTAATGAGGTAGAAAAAGTTAAAATAATTCGTAACTTCTAGTTAAAATAATTCGAGTTGTAATTTCACACTCCTGACAAATAAATGACCAATGTTAAAAATGAAATAATCCAAAATCGAAAGGCAAGTAGTCAATCTGCAATACCAGAATTTCAGTTAATTTCTTACTTTCTCAAGAAAACGTTTCATTCTTCTTCAAACTGCCTCCTCCTATTGGCTGGAAAGCTACCAACCATTTTACGGGAGTGATTTTTTTAAAAATAACTACCTATATTGCTTGATCAATGAAAAGAGTAAAATATGTTACGCTTTGTTGGTCATTTCAACTTCATTGAAAAATTTGAACTTTTAATCTGAAAAGTATTGTAAGAGTAACTCTTTAAGGACTGTAGGATTTCTAAAGTTTTAAGTTTTAACCTCAAAAAATAATGGTTAATGATGCTATGATTAAGAAACGGACGCAATTAAAAAAGACAAAAATTCTAAAAACAACCCAAAACGTCCCTCCACAAAAACAACGAAAAATGATTTAAAATCAGCCGAATTTAAGTGCCCTTTTCAAATTTTACATCCTCTTTATTCCCATATCATTGTATGATATTTTTCCTTGATGACCAAAATGTTCTGGGAAACCTACTGGGAATTAAAATTAATGAGAACAGAAAAACTCCATGATAATCCATCAACAAAAGCACCCGTTTTAATGAGAATATTTCTAGAACGGACTCCCCTGTTACATGTCCGAATATTTGGGATAAAGTGACTTATTAGGAGAATATTTCATGAGTTTGAAGTATGCTGCGATACTTAATAGACAGAGTGGTGAAATTTCAAACTTCGCATGAGTAAATTTGAGCCTACATGACAGGTATTATAGTAGAAGTGAAAACTTTGGGCCAACTTTTGGAGTCAAGCTATGCAAGTTTTGGAATTTTATAGCTTTTTATATGGTATTCTCTCCTGACACATTTGGCCGAAAGGATAAAAACAAATATTGGTTTCCAAAATTAAATACTTTAATCGTGAATGTAAGCTAGGAATAAATCTCGAGAACAATAGACTAACCGGCTAATTATGACATTCTATTTTGATTTGGTACCGTGAAAATTAATGCTGCCATGAATATATTTTTTTTGTACTGGAATGAAATACTGTATTCGTAATTCGTAAGAGTTTTTTCATGCAAAAAACGCATACAGTTTTTTAAAATGAAAAAGGGCTCAGTAATTATACAAATTAAATTTTCAGTTGGTTGAGCTGCAACACCAGGCTGCAATGAAAAACATAGCCAATTGACTGTTGAAAAAAAGTAATGAACGCAAGTAAACAAACAAGACTGCTCGTATCAGGGCGAAGCCCTGAAAGTTCCGACTGCCTTTTAACGTTTATGGAGCAGTAAAAACATAAACAGAATAAAAAAATTAGATGAAATAAAAATGAAAAACTTGTTTTTCTAAAATTTGAAAATTTTTCTATGAAAATCATCACCCCACATGCCATATAAAGTACATAACATTAGATTTCGCTCCTTGTAACAAATTAATTATGGCAAATAAGCTTCTTTCAACCAATTTGGAACGATTTCTAAGACGGATTAACTCTCCGCTTACGCGTTAATAGCGCGAATTATATCGCGCGTTAATTGTCCCAAATTGGTCAAAATGGCAATCTTTAAACCCTCATAACTTTAGAAAAATGATCACCGGTAAAATATTTTTTCAAATTTAAGCTCAGGACAACAATACCTTTCGAATGATAAAAAAAATTCCGTCAAAAATGGTCAGTCAAAAAGTCGAAATTTGTCTGAAGAAAAAAAACCCCACCCCGAGCACAAATATTCCCTTACTTTCGTATCGAAAGTCGGAACAACAAGACTTCTCATATCAGTCCGATTCCGACTACACCCATAAGTTATCGAAAAATGGTCACGGATGTAATATTTTTTCAAATTTAAGCTCAGGACAACACTACCTTTTGAATGATATAAAAAAATTCCGTCAAAAATGGCTAGTTAAAAAGTCGAAATTTGTCCGAAGAAAAAAAAACCCACCCCGAGCACAAATATTCCGTTACTTTTGTATCGAAAGTCGGAACAATAATGGTTCATTTATTTAAAGTTGGTGTGAAAAAAATATCGCCATAGGCACCCAAAAAACAAATAAGTAAAACAAAAATAATAAAAAAGAAATCATGTGTGCAAACACGATGCGGAAATTTATTACCTTTCATGTATTAGGTCACAATAAATCCGATATTTGAAGCTTATGAAAAATTAAATTAGCCATGGAGCCATCATAGTCTGGTATGAAATTATATGGCATATTAAAACGATTTATAAATTGGCAAAAATGATTTATATATTCAAGTCCTGAAAACTTAATTTTGTCTAATAAAATAGGTTTTTATAAATAAAAGATTAGCGCCATTTTGAGAATAAAATTTTCAAATTATTGCTACAAAAATTTCAAAATGTATGAGAAACTTTTTTTTGCCTAATTGATTCGTTACATTTTTGGTCGGTTCAATTTTTGAACTTGCAAAAAATTAACTTTTTTTGAAGCATTTTGTAAATCTAATCAATCGTGAAACTTAAACTCGCAAGGAGGTTTGATGGGTAACAATCAATTAAAATCGAGTTTCTCACAAAGTGTTGCCAATATAAGCAATTAAAATTACTCTTTAGGACCACACACGTTAAAACTCCAATAAATTTTACAGTTTTCAAAGAAATTGAATTGATTACATTCCATTTAAAATTAATCTTTTAAAAATAATATGGTAGTATAGTTTGTACCAAACTGGTCCATATTTAATCTGCAAAATTTTTAGCTTGTCTAGCTCATTTTTCAAACTCATCACAATTTTTTAATTTTGACATAACAACATCCTTCACAATTTATCTACCCTTTTCTCATTGTAAAATCCCCAATGTGTGTTGCATGTGTTAGGGGGTAAGTAAGGGCAGGAGAGCGTGTTAAGTGAATGAATTAAGAAAGGTGAAAAAAAAGTGGGTTGAGTGGGGAGAAACCTCAAACAGGAAACCAATGAGAAAAAATTGTGAAGAAGAAAAGTAGAAAACAATACAACAATGTTTCTCATACCAAAAATATACAATTGCAATTTTCAAGTTCTTTTTTATGCGAAAACGTTTTGGAAAATACAAACTCTTGCTTTATTCTTTCCAATTTATCGTTGGAGAGAGCAGTACAAAAGTATACCTGATGAAAGTTTTATTTTTCTAAACGATCGTCTAACTTAAAATGGCCCGACTACTACCAGAGTCGAAAAACTTCTCTTCGTTCATGCAAAAGTGCAGTGGAAACGCACTCAAACGACAATTCCATCTACAATAAATCAAGAGAGGAGACAAAGAGAGAGAGAGAGAGAGAGAGAGAGAGAGAGAGAGAGAGAGAGTGTGTGTGCTTGAGAGAAGGAGACCACTATAAAAAAATTTGATGGAAAAACTTTTTGTCAGACTTAATGTATCATCATGAAAAATCAAAATCAAAATTAAATAAAACATAGACTTTGACAACTTGCACAAGTTGATAGAATCAAACTACGATTACGAATGATTGGCCGAAAGAAACAAAAAAAAAATACAAAAGTTTTTGCTGAGTGAGTGTTGTACACCTTTTTTTTTCTTCCTCCAGATACAAGGATGCCAAAAATTTTTGTCAGCAACTCTAAACCAAACAAAAATTGAAACAGTATCGATTCTTCAAGAAAACCAGTAATCTTAGCTGTTTTTCTTTTTATTGGCTATGCTAAAGCATTCAATTTTGTTTCACATCAGATTTTTCTCAACAAACTAGATTCAAACGGGTTTTCCGCTCAAGCTCGTGAACTAATTGCAAACTTTTCATCAGATCAAAAACATTGCGGAAAAATTGGTGATCCAAAGTCATGCTGAGAAATGTAAAACATGGGGTACGACAACTTTTACAACGCTTGGTCCCATTGCTTTCTTTCTATCTGTTAAAGACTCTTAGATTAAATTGGAAACAAATTTGCAATCTATTCAATTTGCATATGATAATTCTTTTAGTTTATCGAAAAAAGATTTACCTGTTTTGAAGTCTAATATACAAGATACATAAAAGTCTGCATTGCCATATTTATTCAAAAATGAACTCACTAATAATGCAGTCAAAACAGAGATGACCAGTTTTGACAAACACTCAGAACCATTCGGTTCTATACCTGTTGAAAAGAAGGGAAATGAAAATCAAATATTCAGCTTGTTTTTTTGGCATTATATTGGATATAAAATCCACAAAATGGCAAAGTGGCTTGCGGTGTTAGGTCGCTTCACATCTTTTGACATTAATTACCGTTAATGGCACAGTTTGTTTTATTAAAATCTTTAGGCTTTGTCTCATCCCAGTTTTCAGTAAATTACAAGAAAAATGTGGAAAGTTTGAATCGGCAAACAAGCGGGTTTCACAATTTTGCTTGTGAGAAAAAGTTTTTACAGATGTGGTCTACTTTGAGAAAAGATGCAGAATTACTGATAACAAAATTTTGTTTGCCTAAAAGTTTTGTTCTGCTTCCTGAAAACACAAATCCTTTAGCTGAGGAAAGCAAGAAAAAAATTATGCATAATTATGAAAAGACGTTAAACAATAGATCAAAAAAATAATTAATGGAAAGATTTAAAGTAATTAAAAATAGTAGAATTAATTTCTAGAATATGACACCCAATAAGTTGAATGGCTCACCTATTGACTTGTTGTATGCGTATATTACTCTCAAAGTTTCGTTGTAGCGAAATACTAGAATATTGTTTAGAAGCCAGGCTCAATTGACTTAATCTTTTTTTTATTTGTAATTTTACATCTTACAGCATGTATTCTTTAAGCTCCGAATTATTTTGAAAAATTTCTTTATTGTCAGAAGAAATCATTTTTTTAAAAACTTCCAAAATATTTAAACAACTTAGAGCATTTGCTTTCAAATCACGAAGCATCGCTGGGTATGGTGGTACTATGCATCTATAGTTTAATGCAAAAGCAAGGAGCAAAGCATGAGTTTCGATAGGTAAATAAATGAACAAACAATACGGTAGAGTTGATTGGAGCCGCACAAAAAACATCAATCAGGGAAGTTACCCATAATATCTCGAAAATTTCATCAATCAGAAAAAATTTGTGATGATTCAAAATGGTCAATTTGAAATGATTTTAGGTCAATCTTGAAGACCTTTTGTTACCATGAAAGGAGTTTAAATTTAATTGCCTATTGAAAAACTTCGTTCCAGATTCCGTGTTAGCAAGCTGTAGGCATTTCAAAAAATTTACGGACTTAAATTTTTTTAGTGCTTTGAAAAGTATCTTCAAAACTTCGTAGAAAGTATTGGGATATCTCTCTCTTAAAGGTTGAGTTTTAGTCTCACTTTTTGACAGCTTTTTTGTGTTTCCATATTATTCAATGTTCTGAGAGCTTCATTCAAAACAACTCACGTGAGAATGTTTTTGAAGCTTCGTGGTTCAAAAATTCCAAATTTGTCATTTCACAAACAAAAAAGTTCGCAAAATATAAGATTTGAATTGAATTAATTAAAGAACTAAATAATCTGGCTAAACACTGAAACAAATATTTAGCCAGATTAAACAAGGATGGCCGGTTTTTGTGCAAATATTCTAGAATATTCCGACCTGTCTTAAAAATACAAAAAATTTTTTTTTTCAAATTAGTGTGGTTTGTTCTGCGAAGAATGATGAAAAAATTTGAACAAAAAACTAGAATTTAGGCAAGTCTTAGCCATTTTAAATAAATAACAAGTTAAATAGAAAAACCCTTTGAAGACTTTCAAAATTTAGAACTTTTTGATTCCCAAATTGGCGCCAAAAACAATCCAAATATTCATTTAAAACAAAAAAGTTAGGTTTTTACGCCTTAATTAAGCACAACAAAACCTGCTAGCTTTCTTTACTAGCTCGAAATTAGACAAAAAATCAAAAACTTTGAACCAGTTTTTCTTGACACTCTATCAAGCCATATCGTTCAAACCATGGTCGAAAAGGCTCCAAGACGCTATATCACTCAACATAGTCCGATGATTTTTTGTGGCAGCTGATTTTCCGTGGAATACATTTAAAAAAGAAAAAATCTAAAACACACCCGAATACAATATTTCTCCCCATTTTCAATGATTGGAACGATCAGATAATTTTATTCTTCAAACTGTCCATTAACAAGCACCAATTGGTTTTTTTCTCAGCACTGCATGTGGTAAAAACTGTTTCACAGATCACTCTATGTAACTTTTTTTATAAAAGGGTTTTTCTAGTAAAAATGTTTTTTTTTAATTACTGGGATTTTCAATCTAAATTTAGAAAAGACTCGTTGAAAAAGTTAATAGAGTATTCAAGTTTTCAACCTAAGACGAGCTATCCAGTTGTTCTGTAGATGGTGTCACAATTTTGGCAGCAAGAACCAAACCCAATAAAAAACTTAATGTATTCAAAATAATAAATAATACTAGCTTTTGGTAGCTACAGGAAAATTAAAAAAAAGACAATAGAAAATTTCAACGCACTTCGATAATTTCTCGAAGAAAACACCTGAGTCTGAAATTGTTCAAGCAGCAAGTGAAACAACAACTTTTGACCTCAAGTGAAACTGTTTGATCAAATGGAAATAGTAAAAATGCAATTTTCAAAATTTTCAAAATTTACCTTGGATATGAGAATATGTTTGTACAAGTAAATACGTAAAAGTGAGTAAAAGAAGAAATATATTCAAAGTTCTAGATGTACCACCGGTTGAAAAGTAAAGTTGTAGAGGAAAACTTGAATGTCAAAACAAGACTGCTCGTATCAGGGCGAAGCCCTTAATGTTGCGACTTTCTTTTAAGGTTTATGGAGCAGTAATAACATAAATATCTTTAAAAATTAAATGTAGTAAAAAAACGAAAAAAAAAATTCTAAAATTTGAAATATTTTCTATGAAAATCATCTCCCCACACGCCATATAAACACAAAAGAATAGAGCTCCTTGTTACAAATTAAATATGGCAAATAAGCTTATTTCAACCAATTTGGAGCGATTTCTAAGACGAATTAAATCTCTGCTTACGCGTTAATAGCGCGAAATCTATCGCGCGTTAATTGTCACAAATTAGCCAAAATGGCGATCTATAGACCCATAACATTACAAAAAATGATCACAGGTAAAATATCTTTTCAAATTTAAGCTCAAGACAAAAATAACTTTTGAATGATAAAAAAATCCGTCAAAAATTGCTAGTTAAAAAGTCGAAATTTGTCTGAAGAAAAAAGAATCACCCCGAGCA